GGAGGAGCTTGAGAGGGCCTGGGGATCAGAGAAAATGTCTAGTACTCCATCTTGTTGCTCATGGGAAATAACATTGTTTTTAAATGCATGAAATAAAATGCATAAGCTTACAAAGGAAACCAATTATACTGAAAAACAGTTATTGTAATTTTTTTTTAAAGTTCATATGATGGAAAATTATGAACTTCTGATATAGAAAGTGGTAAGCTGAATTTTGGAGGAAACAAGGGATTCAAAGGGGCAGAGGTGAGAAGGGGAGTGCATTTCAGGTATGGATTGTGGGATAGCCAGTGCAAAGGTGCACATTGTGTGTGAAGAACAGTTGTCTTGGCTAGACTGCAGCATGGCAGAAGGGGAGTAATGTTGGAAGGGAGCAGCAAGATTGGAAAGATATCGTGGCTTCACACCATCTTATGCTATGGCAATAACTTGCTGGTTGGTTTTCTTGCCTCAAGTCTTACCCTGCTCCAGGTCATCCTCCATTCACCAGTCAGTTTGGTCAACCTGAAGAGCAAGTTTCCCTGTCATCTTCCTGGGACTCTCCCTCTGTGTCTCTGCTTCCTGGTTTTCCTGGCTTCTTTCAAGGCTCAACTAAAGTCCCACCTTCTTCAAGAAACCTTTCCAGATCCCCCTTAAAGTTAGGGCCTTCCCTTTGTTGATTATTTCCAAATAATCCTGTAATTATCTTGTTCATAATTGTTTGCAAGCTGTCTCTCCTTGAGAGCAGTGGTTGTCTTTTGCTTCTTTGTATTTTCAGTGCTTAATGCATTGCCTGGCACTTGGTAGATCCTTAATATATGCTAGTAGACTCCTACTTGATCTACATTATGTTAAAAAATCAGTTAGAGTGCTTTATAGTTTAAAGATAATAGAGAACTATTGACATTTGAGTAAGGGAAGAATGAGACCTGTGCTTTTAGGAAAATTACTTTAGCAGTGTTTTTGTGTGTATATATGTGTGTTTGTTCTATTTTAATAGAATAGAATGTTACATGCTGGTATTTGGTGTTGTGGGTTTCCTTCAGGATGAGAAAGTTCTCCCAACTTTTAACATAGTATTTAGTTCAGTTTACTTACTGGATGGAAAACTCCTAAAACACATTAATACTGACTAATAAAATTTTCCAGTTTTTGTTGAATTTGTACAATTTTTCTTTTACTGACTTAAATTTGTAAACTTGAAGGAAAGTAATCCCTTTTAAAAATTCGCTGTTGTGTGTGTAGTCAAAAACTCTCTTCATAGACACATATATTACATTTAACCTAGTGCTTTGGAGTTAGATGTGACCGATTGAATGCTCCTTTATATTGTCTTGCCTCTCCACTAATGGGGAAAAAACCAGAAGGCCAGTTAATTGAAGGAACAATTTGATTGATATAGGCAACTACATAGTCTTCAGCCTGTTGATCTGGACCACATTTGCTATTAAGTTGAAGTACTGAATGACTGTTTATTAAACTTTTCTGTAGCAACTTTTATTGTTTCTTTATGGAGGATGCTTTCAAAGTAGAATTTTTGATCAACTCAACTCCAGAGTTTATTAGTATATATTTTTGTGATCCTTGCATTTGAATTTTATGCATAGTACTGAAGCTTCCAGACTTGGAGAAATAGCCAAAGTTTGCTTTGATATATTCAACATGATTAACCTTTATTCTTATCTTAGACAAAAAATGTCACAAATTTGGATCTTGAATTCTAAATTTTATAGTTTTACTATAAAGTGTGGGTGTCTCAAGTGTTGGATTTTCATGTTTTCTGATGTTGGAATAGATATAATTAATGTTAATAGTGGAGCCAAAAGTACCTGGTATCAGGAGTAAAGCTTTGGCTAGTATTGATTTTAGATAATGAAATTGATTTTAGTTTTACAGGAAAAAAATCTCCCAGATTTAAGGTCACTTAACAGAGTGTTTCGAAGTAAAACTTAGTAGTAAGTACCCTCTCCAAATAAATCCTTTTTTTCCCCCCATTCATTCAACTGTAGGTAGATATAAAATGCCTGTTCTTACATGTGCTGTCTTTTTTCTAGTTGTAGATTTCTGCTATCATTGTGTGATATTAATGTCTAACACAGATGATTAACTTTCAGGCCCCTCTGCTGAAATAATTAATATGGCTCTTTTAGGTTTGTCATTCTAGAAAGCAGTGTTGAAAGATTTTTAAGTAGTGTATGTAACCTGTAAGGAGTGCTTAAACTATATGTATTTGGAATTCAACCTCAATTACCTTTATTCCCATAGTGATAGTGAGTGCCAGAAAAGAAGTTAGTATAAAAAAAAGTTTTGTTTTTTTTCCCACTGTAAGGTCTGCCTTCTTAAATCAACAGAAATTCAAAATAGGTTTTAGGAAATTTCAACAGAAGAAATCAATGTCTTCTAGAAAGGAAATCAGATGCTTTGACATTGGCATTTGCTACTTTAGCTGAATATTCTTTTGGTTTTTGATTCCAATTGTTTGAGCCACAGCTTCAAAACTCCTAGGAATGCAGTAGTGATGTTTCTGATGACCAAGGGCCATACTCTGTGCATTTTCTTTTTTCAAGTTTTAAACTAGGCCTTTCTTCATTGTTCTCTGAAGTATTTTCATTGCAAAATTATGACAATAATTGTTCTGGCTACTTTTTAACTGAGACTATTCATGCAAAGGGGAGAATTTTAAGTATCTGAGAAATAAACTGATTTTTCTACAGTACTTTACCAAATTCTGATCTCCTCCTTGAAGTTTTTTAGCCACAGTGGTCTATATTGATCTTTCCCCTTTCTAAATTCTTGTACTGCTTTATTGCCTGTTCCATTTTGGATTATTTTTTCCACAGTTATTTCTTTCCTTTCATATGTCCTTACTTCCCCAATAAGAATGTCAGCTCCTTGGGGACAGAAACTGTTTCATCAACTTCTTTTTTTATCCCCTACCCAGTACTAATAGCATCGGGCATCTAGCAATCATTTAATACATATTTGTGGAATTAAAATGTGTATTAGTATTTTAAATCTGGATGAGAACATCCCCCCTAAATTTGGAGAAATCATTATTGTTTAGGGAATAAGCAACTTATGAAGAAAACAGACAAACTGAGAAATTTTTCTCTTGAACATTACATCTAAAAGTTTAAAATGTATATGACATAGTTGTAGATAGAGGATAGTTGTGAAATTATGAGTATATTATTTTATGGTACAATGAAATTCAAATGTGATTCACAAAGTGGTTAAAATGGATAAACTTTTTATATGTGGTCTGAGGTACTTTCCTGAGAGAGACAGTATGAGGTAGTAGTGAGTTCAGCCCCAGTTCTAGATCTGTGGTTCTATTGATCCTCTGCGGGATCATTTACGCAGAGGTAGAATTGTAGTTATATTTTATAGACTTCAATATTTCAAGGCTACATAGTTCGATAAGCATGGATATTCCCTCACCAATACAATCCTCCTTTGCCATACTAGGCAGTCTACGTGAACTGATGTAGGCTTGATATTTATCAGCTGGTAGGCAGCCTTCTGGGGATACACCTTCCCAGTCTTAGGTGGGTGGGTCAGTGACCAATTCTGCTTTTTAAGGTGTTCTCCTCTTCATTGGCTTTTTGGACCTCTTTTGCCATTTGGCCTAGTCTATTTTTTAAGGTGTTATTTTCTTCATTGTTTTTTTTTTGGGTCTCCTTTTTTACCTAACAATTGATTCATTTTTCATGGGTTTTCTTGCATCACTCTTATTTCTTTTCCCAGTTTTTCCTCTACCTCTGTTGCTTGATTTTCAAAATCTTTTTTTGAGCTCTTCCATTGCCTGAGACCAATTCATATTTTTCTTGGAGGCTTTGGATGTAGGAGCTTTGACTTTATTGTCTTCTTCTGAGTATATGTTTTGATCTTTCTCGGCACCAAAGTAAATTTCTATAGTCAGAGTTTTTTTCTGTTGTTTACCCATTTTCCCAGCCTGTTACTTGACTTTTTAACTCTTTGTTAAGGTAAGGCTCTGCTTCCATGGTGGAGGGTGAACTGTCCCACGCTTTAGGGGTTTTGTGCAGTTGTTTTCAGAGATAGTTCTAGGGACCTCTAAGTTTTCAGTTCTTAAGGGTGGTATGATATAAGGAGATGTGTTTATTATTCTGCTGGCCTGTGCTTTTGTCTGTGAGTGTCCACAAGCACTCTTTTCTGCCCTTAAACTGTGAGGAGGGTACCCTCTTCACTGCTGCTGTAAGCTCTTTTATTACTAGTGCCCCTCCTCACCCCAGGACTGCCACCTAGGACTGTGACCCAGATCCAAGTATGGGCAAAGCAACAGAGTCCCTACTTGAAAATGTTCCAGCTTGCAGGTATACCTACCAGAGTTTGTGCTCCACTGGTATAACCTTGGAGGACCAAGCATTACCTTCATGCCACAAAGAAGCATCAGAGTAGGATTTTTCTAGAGGATTTCTATTTTAGGAAGTTCCAAACCATAAGTTCTTATTTCACTGACAATGAGGATGACAATATCTGGGGCTGCTCATGAATCATCATCGCCCCTAGTGTGGTTTTCAGTTCAGACGACACAGCAACCAGGAACATTACAGTGATCTGAAGAATGCTCTGGAAAAGTTGTTATTTATAGTTAGAATCCAGTGGAATAAACTGTGCCATTACTACTTGGCCAAACTTCTAATGCTTATGTTAACCAGGCTGAGGTTTAGCAGAAAGGAGCTCATTGGACATAGAATTAGAAAATTTAGGTTAGACCTTTGGCTCTGAGGACCAGTATGACTTTGTGCAGGTTACTTAACTCTTCTGAGTCTCACTTTCCTTACTTGCAAATTTAGCGGGTTGGGCTGGTGAATCCCTAACCAAGGTCACTTCCATCATCTCCTGAGATTTTTATTCCATGCTTAGTGAGGAATTGTGTTTAATGTAGATAGGCAGGTATAGCAAAGCCATCTGAAACACACAACTTGGTGGTATTATTGTTGGAATAATATTATTATAGCTAAACCAGATTTTGATTTCTTTTGTCCTTTTCCTTCTAGATATTTGTATCATGTTTTGACCAAAAACACCACAGTAACAGAACAGAATCGCAACTTACTTGTGGAGACTATACGTTCCATCACGGAGATTCTTATTTGGGGGGATCAGAATGACAGCTCTGTATTCGAGTAAGAAGTTCGGCTTTTTTCTTTCTTTGGAATATTCCTCAAAATTGACACCATACATTGTTCTTAGGGACATCAGGATTTAGGCCTAGATTTTCTTTGCGTGTTCGTATGGCTCATGTCATTGTTACTACAATATAAAGGATTAGCATGTTAATTAAAAAAGAACATATTAAAGATTTAAAGCTGTAGCCTTCAGAAATCTTGATGTAATAATGGATGATGTATTCCCTAAATGATATCTAATGATCTTTCTGAAAGTGTGAGAAAATCTTCTTCCACTTAGATTTAAAATGAAACAATTTGAATGCCATCTTTAAGAGAAATAAGAGTATTCTGAAAAATTCTGTATGCTTATCCAGCTCGGTTAAATGAGAAAGGCAAAATTGCTGTTGGAAGATCCTAATCTATACCCCTTTAAAATGTTGCCAGTTTGATGGTGCTGTTAGGTGCCAAGAGAAAAATATGATAGATTCAGAAGAACCAAATTTCTTTTGGTCTGCATTGGAAAGGGTTTTTAAAGAGAACTTGGAAAAGGTTATCCTTGATGTCTGGCTGGTGGAAAGATTGTTTAGGAAAGGATTATAACAACTGTGTCCATTTTCTATAACTGACTTTGCTAAATTTTCTCATCTTAAAAGAATCCAAATTTGAAAATAAACAAATAATGGTTTACATAGTCTGAAGAGAAGTGAAAACATAGGCTTCTTGACTTTCTGTTGATGTCTCAGTAAACAAATATTCAGATAATTCTAGATCAATTGAAAAACATTTCTAATCAATTTTCAAACCTGAAAATTATACCTAAAGATCAGTCACTAACTCTGAATTTTGCCAACAACTGTAGTCTAAAGCTGCAGTTTTCAAAAGATGTCAGGAACATAGGAAAAGTCTTAGCACAGACAGATACTAAAGTAAAATATTAAGGAGATGAATTTAAGTGGAAAGTAGTATTTATTGGTTTTATAATTGTAAATGACTTCACACTCGTATAGCAGGTGAAGTACATTTCCTATGCTGCCAAGTTCTACTTCAGTGCTTCTTAGAATAGATGATTTGTTTCTATGTCCTTTGTGGTGAGCTAGAAGGGATGCATTTTATTGAATTTATTAGCACCTGTTCCTTAGATGCTCATTACTGCAAAACTGAAGAGCTTTTCAAATGTCATTCATCTCTTATGCGGGAAGACATTTTTCTTCATTTTGAACATGTGAATCATAATCATCTACTGTGTTCTGTGAAGTATGCATGATTTGAATAGTGTAAGTATGAAAAATGAATCACTAACTCTCTAATTATATCCTAGCTTTTTCCTGGAGAAGAATATGTTTGTTTTCTTCTTGAACATCCTGCGTCAGAAATCTGGTCGTTATGTCTGTGTTCAGCTGCTACAAACCTTGAACATCCTTTTTGAAAATATCAGTCATGAGACCTCACTTTGTAAGACTGCTTTTTTTTTTAACCATTTGATTCTATTTGCTGAGCTATTTACATCTGGGGCTTGCAATTCAAAATAGATCATCTTTTTAAGTTAAGCAAATAAGACAACTGTTTGGCCAGGGAAATTACAGGGGTGCTAAAAGCCATTCATTACTTCTGAATGATTATTTTGCATTCTATTATTTGCATTCAATATCTATCTGAAACCTTCAGTAGTAAGGATGTTGACTAGTAAATTCTATATGAATGTGAGCTGAGTCCCCAGCTCACAAATGAATTGTGTTACAAAATACAAAGTTGACTGCAAAAGTGATCAAGGGGATGGTAGTACCATCAGGAGAGAAAGGGAAGTTGGGTGGAGACGTATGTTTTGGGAGAAAGGCATCCTCAGTTTGAGGTACCAACAGGGTATCCAATTATATTTGCCCAGCCAGCAATTTGGAATGTCGGACTGGAGCTCAGGAAAGAAGTTGGAACTGGCTAAATACATGTGTATGCTTTATCTTCATAGAGGTGTTAACCTTTGTAATGGGAATAGATTCAATCATCAAGGAAGGAAGAACCTACCTTTCTCCCACCAAGCACCAGCTTTCAAAACTGTATCTTGGTCAAGAGTATTTTTTTTTGGGGGGGGGTTCATTATTAACACTGCAATGATCTTTTCTGTTAGTTTTCAATAGAAAGAAATTTTAGCTAGATTATCAGTTAAATAGACTTGGCAGCCATCTTTGACTTTTCTGTTTCCCTGGCCCTCTGAATCCAGTCAGTTATCAAGTCTTGTCTGTGTCTCCTCAGTCTTTTGCATGTGTTCCCTTCTTTTCATGCATACTGTCAGTACCTTAATTTAACTCCTTCATTACTTCTTGGCTGGGCTATGAAGACAGCTTCCTGACTGATATCCCTCTGAGCTGCCAGTTAATCTTTTAAAATCAAGGGCTCATCATGTTGTTCCCATACTCTGAAACTTTTAGCAGCTTCTTTCCCTATAGGATAGAATATATAAACCTTAGCTTGTCATTCAAGGTCTGGCTTCAAGGAAGCTCCATAGTGGGAAATAATGTCCTGATGTAATTGATAAGAATAGAGAGAGCAAGAAGCAGGAAGGAGGGGAGTAAAGAGGAGGGGAGTGTGTGTGTGTGTGTGTGTGTGTGTGTGTGTGTGTGTGTGTGTGTGTGTGTGTGAAAAAGAAATAGTTCAGTTTTTTCTACCTCAGACAATGTGTGATGAAAGACAAGAAAAATACCTGGTATGTCTCCTTATCCTTCTGAGAAAGAAGTAAATGAGGTAATTGGTAAAGAATCAGAATCTTAGAATTATAAACTGTTTAGTCAAACCCTTTCATGAACAAAAATCCCCCTACAACATATCTGACAAGTGGTCACTCAGACTTTGCTTGAAGGCCCCTCCTGAAATGGAGAGAGATGTGACGGTATCTTATGCTAGCCACAGCTTGTCTGGAATGCCTCAGAGTAGGCAGTGTCTCTGTCAGTAATTTTGTATGAATGGGACAGTCTCAAGTTGATTAATTTTAATTTCTTCATTTTGCTCTTGGTTTTGAGAGATCAAATAGCCTGCTTGACCATCAGCCTTGCCCAAAACATTACAAATGTTTTGGATGGCCTGGGGAATATTAGGGTCGGTAGGGAGCTGGATCTTTTTACAAATGTACCAATTTAGGTTCACAGATAATTAGTAATAACCTTTTGAAAACACCATTTGTGAGGACAGATAAGGATCAACATGTAAGTTGCTAAAAAAATTTCCTTTGTTTCACTTCATTCTTATCAGTTATATTAATAGTTTTTGCTTACCTGGCTCCTTCTTCTCTTTGGAGAAGGGGGCACAGTCTAACCAGATGGCATTGGTAACCATGAGAAGTCATTTAACATCTCTAAACTGTATTTTTCTTACCTCTAAAATGAAGATAAAATGTTAGTTAGATATCTGTGTTGGGAATCCTCAAATAAAAAATATACTTGCTTGATCTTCTTGGTATTTCACCACCTAACTTTTATTAATTTGCTTCTCTTTACAAGTTCAATGCTCGACATTGGGAGAGATTTCAAGATAAATAAAACAGTTCCTACCCGTAATGGTGTTTATAATCTAGTTGAGGGGAGGTACGGTTCATACACAAATAACTACAATACAGAATAGACCATGATGATGGTTAAGAGAGTTATAGACAAAGTGCTTTGCATTGGAAAGCACTGGATGTGTATGGGAAATGATGAGTAATCCACTTATTCAAATTGGGACTTTATATATGTAAAGTTTATAGGATTTAGCACAATATTAAGACATTTTAAAAAGGGATATGTTGGGGCAGGTAGGTGGTGCAGTGGATAGAGCACCGGCTCTGAAGTCAGGAGGACCTGAGTTTCAAATATGGCCTCAGACCAAACACGATACTTCCTAGCTATGTGACCTTGGGCAAGTCACTTAACCCCAGTTGCCTTAAAAAAAAAAAAAGGATATGTCTGTTATAGCTGAGAAAGTGAAGAATGTTATTCACCACAACTTGAAAATTTGGTATTCATTTGTAATTTCATATTTGTGAAAATGCCAGTGTATCCTTACAACTATATATTCCCACTGCTTCCCCTCCTCTCTTTCCCCCAGTAAAGTTTTATTTTTTCATTGTAGTTGCTTCTTTGGTTTTGGTGGAAGGCATTCAGATTTGTTAGGGGGAAAAAAAAAGAAAAAAAGAAAAAGAAAAAAAAAGAATTTGTTAGGGGATTGTCCTTGAATAAGTTCTGAATAGTAGGACCTAAGAAATTAAATTGTTTAAAATGTTAAAATGTTCACTTGCTCTATACCTAAAGTGGAGATCCTTAATCAGTACTTTCATGGTAATCTAATTTATCTACTTGTTTCTGAATATCCATTTAATGTGATAGTTTCCAATGTGAATTAACATGTAGCTTTTGGTTTTTTTGTCCCCAGATTATTTACTCTCTAATAACTATGTAAATTCTATCATTGTCCATAAATTTGACTTTTCTGATGAGGAGATTATGGCATATTATATATCATTCTTAAAAACACTTTCATTAAAACTCAACAATCACACCGTTCATTTCTTTTACAATGAGGTAAGTAGTAGCTATTGAAACAATTTTTTCAAAGCTAAATTATGAATATATATGGCTTCAGCCTATGTAGTATCATTTCTAGATATGTATCTATTTAAGCAAGTATAAGTATGCCATCTAAGTAGTCTGCAGTGGTTCACCATGGCACAGGTAATCTAAAAGTAATCCAATAAGTAATCAAAAAGTAATTTTTATTTTTATTTGGTTTGGAAATATTTGATTTTTTATTTTAATGTAAAGATCAGTTTGGATTCCTTGAACACATTCCGATTGATTGTGAGAAGTACCCAAAAATATATTAGATGACAGTGAAAAAGCCTTCTTGGGATTTAAAATTTGCTAGGGATTAACCACAAAGTAAATTATGCCAAGTAAGGGTAATTTGAAGATCAGACTGTTATAGTCTCTGAAAACATGTAGAAATGAAAGTGTGACATCTTGAGCATTATTTTTCCCCTTCCTATTAGTGTAGAGTGGGTTCATATAAATATAGATTGTAATGGACAGAATCTTTTCTATATATACATGTAGTACCTGGATATGTGAAGCTATGGAGGTAGAACATAGCTTATTACAAAGCTTATAATGGGGCCAGAGAACTGGCATGCACAGGTTCTCTGTAGATCTCTCTGGTTCTCACAGGTTTAAAGTAAATCACTTTATTCTCAAATGTAATGTTAGGAATATCATTTCAGATGTGTGGTTTACTTTGTTAATCAGCAAATATTAATTGAGTGGTTGCTATATACAAAGCATTTTGCTAGGCTCAGAAGAGATACAAGTAAATAAGATATGATCTCTGGCCCTAAAGAATTCATATTCCAGTAGAGGAACTATTATTTACAAATTTATTGTTCTAATCTAGCCTGTGCTTAAGGTTGTGCATATATGAAACATTTTGGCTTTCACTTGACCGCCTTCCTTTTTAAGGAACTGTGGTGGTGGTGGTGGGAGAAATGACCACAAGAGGGCAGTAAAGTCATCGTTAATGCTTGCTTCCTGAGTTATTTTTCTCCTAGACTTGGGTTATATAGTATAGGAGATATGGTGTAGCCAATGCATTGTTAGTGTGTTTTCCTTTTTGAGTTATTTAATGAAATTCTGGGATGGGGAGAACTGTTCTTGAAGTTTTGTAATTTATTTTGCATACTGTTTATGTTTTAGCACACAAATGACTTTGCGCTGTACACAGAAGCCATCAAATTTTTTAATCACCCTGAAAGCATGGTCAGGATTGCTGTAAGAACCATAACTTTAAATGTTTATAAAGGTAAGTTGTCATGTATTTGTTCATATGGTATTTGCTTCCCAACTTTGTAGTGGATTCTAACTCTCATGTTTCTGTGCTTTTCCTTATTTCGAGGCTAAACCATCAGTTTATTCTAAACCAAGTACAGAGATCACATGCCTAAATGAAGGTATCTCTAAATTGGCTTTTAATCATTACAAACTTAGCTAGCATCTTATGCATATTTGCAACCCTATTTTTATGTACTGTGCATAAGAATGGACACGTTTCATATATACTGTGATATGTTAGAAGTAATTGTATTGGAAGAATATGTACTATGTAAAATTTTGAGTACACATTTGGCTGTAAGAGAAAGGAAATTTTCTTAAAAAATGAAATTCTTGGTTTTGTTTTTGCATGTAAAATATGAGAGCAGCGTTGCATAGTAGATAGAGAGCCAGCCTCACAACCAGGAAGACCTGGATTCAAGTCCCACCTCTGACACATCCTGCCTGTGTGACCTTGGGCACATCATTGAACCTGTCAGTGCTCAAGACAGCTAAGAGTATGAGTTGCAGGGGAAGTGCTGGTCTGAATTAGGGAGTCAACAAAATCACAGTCCAGTCCCTTTCCTTGTGTAAAATGTTACACGAGCCACTTTCTTTAATATATGAAGTCATTTTCATCTTTATGACCAGAAGAGGGCAGCATGATATTGTTAGTGAGAGCATGCAACATGCAGCACTAATATACAACTTCTCTTTCAAGATGTTGCAACATGCAGAATATTGCATTTAAGCTTTCTGCATATCTTTATATACTGTCCAAAATACTGAGTATATATATGTATACTGAATTACCTAAATGGAAAATATCATCTCAGTGGCACGCCCTTTGAGTTTTTCTGCCCAAAACTACTACTTTAGTGTGATAGTGTTATTTTTGCTTTTGTCAATGGGTGCCACACTGTTGTTATACTATGGTTAGGTTTGCATTTTTTCAGGAACCAAAGGTTTTGATCATTGCATATGGGAAATTGTTAATTAAGATGATGTTCTAATTTAAGTTTGCACTGTAGTTTTTGTTTTAGAATGTATTAAGTTTTAGAGTTTCTCCAAATAATGAATTTGAGAAACGCAGTAGTCAATTCTGAGGTAGTAGTTTCTTGCTTTCTGGTTTGCACTTGTTCTTTTCTAACCTGTATCTTTTAGTTTAGATGCTTCCTGCTTTAGCTATTTATCCCTTTGGGCGGATGTCTCACCATCCCAGTTCCTAATCCTGTTAACTGTTGTCTGTTTTTTGCCCTTCCTTCAATGATGATTCCTGTGTTCCTTATTGCAGTGTCATGTAAGTTATTAACCACTCCTGGTTTTCAGCATTCTTGCTTTATTCTTACATGTAAATAAAATGCTTGAAAATGATATCATTTTCTGCTTTAGTCTAGCTAAACTTGCTACCTTTAGACTGATAGGGAAATAAGCCCTTTAGCATGTGCTATTAATATTCAAACAGATCAATTTGTCATGCTAACATAAAAATCCCATAACACTTTAAAGAAAAGTATCATAATTAAGATAAACATTTTCAACCAATTCCCCAAAAGATTGAGAATATTAATCTTAACTTTTCCTTCCTTGAAATTTTCTTTGGAAAGTTGATTTCTTTTCTTTTGTAAACTTTCTCAGTGGATAACCAGGCCATGCTGCACTACATCAGAGATAAAACTGCAGTCCCTTACTTCTCCAATTTGGTTTGGTTCATTGGAAGTCATGTGATTGAACTAGATAACTGTGTCCAGACTGATGAAGAGTAAGTACCTTTCATCTGGTCCATATTAGCTGAAAGTATCACTTCTTGAACAATTCAGATTTCATTGGGAGTAGGGCAAATTACTGCAAATGAGCTTCCCTACATAGTCCCCAGTAGCATTTCCTTAAAAGTAATTCTTCTGCTAAAATACTATTTCCAAGGTGTCCATTTTTTGTAGCCTCCTTGGAACACTACAAAAATCCCTGAGGACAGCAATAATTTTTTTGCAATAGTAAAAAAATTGCTGCTGGAGAAGGGGAAGGATAGTAAGGGAGGGAACAGCCTGAGTATTTAAGGGACAGTCCAGTAGTTTGTATTGTGGCCTAGCAAAAAAGTTGTACCACCTTATATACTTTACCTTCATTCCAGGGACATTGGATTCAAGTTTGAAATAGTTATTTTTCTTTTACAGACATAGGAATAGAGGGAAACTGAGTGACTTGGTAGCAGAACATCTTGACCATCTGCATTACCTCAATGACATCCTTATTATCAATTGTGAATTCCTAAATGATGTACTCACAGACCACTTACTCAATAGGCTTTTTCTGCCTCTTTATGTATATTCACTGGTAAATCAAGACAAGGTAAGTTTGGAGTTTAATGGAAATGTCATTACAACAAAGATATTGAAAAAGCCAACAGATATTCAAAAGGGACAGCTACCTTGTTTTTGGGCAAAGGTGTAAGAGTCCTAGTTCCTAATGTGGACTATAGAAATTGAGATAATTTCCCTTTTCTCTTCTTTCCTTATGATCATCCTTTTTATACAATCATAAACCAGTTAATGCAAACAAATTATTGACATCCGAAGAAAATTTAAAGCTGTTGTTAATTTTTTCTTTTTTTTTTTTTGGCATTTGTGCATTTTTTACTTGAAATTTTGATTGCTTGTAGCATACCAATATATATCTGCAGGCAGTAATTGATCTGGAGAAGATTCGCTAGAAGAAACAAATAGTTTCTTAAGTAATAAAAATGCAATGCAAGTCTGAATACATACTGATGTTTGAAGAAGTACTGAATGAATGTCCTGACAAATGGCATGATATCCTTGATGTTGGACTGGTTTTAGGTCATCTTTAAACATGCTAAAACTCCCAGAACTTTAAAATCTGGAGAAACCCTTTTTAGGATCAGTCCCAGGAGACCAACATAGCTTAAGGGCCAGTTTGAAGTCTTGGTCTGAGATTGAGGTCAGTTTTAGATACAACCTAATTGACCCATGAATCCATTTTATGACATATAGAACTTTAGCAGAACTGATTAGCATTCTGCGCCTTTCTGGACTAGAGATGACTGATCTATGCAAAGGAATCTCTAGGGCCATTTTTGATCTGGATCCTTGAGACTTGGATCATATTAATTGGAGAGGTTTGGAGGAGGACGAGGTTGAGGCCAAAGATACTGGGCATTTGCTTTGTTGTGTAACATTAGAAAAGCAGGGAAAAAAGCTGTATCAAGTCACATGATTTTAAGATAAAATAGTCTATAACTGATTTTTCTTAAGGAGTATACCTATACTTTTCCTTTAGGGAAGGATCGTATAGTTTTGATTTTAAATAAGAGACAGACAGAAAATTAAAACCATTAAAGTACTAATCAAATCCAGGTGAAGCCAATTTGAGAGAGCATCTGCATTTTCTACCTGAAACATTCATCTTTGCTTCTTATACTTTGAAAGTTGCCTTACAGGAATTGGGCACCACAAAAGTCCTTTCAAGTAAGCCTGCTTTTCTGCTAAAGCAGCTGTTTGAAATTAACATTCCAGAGAATTTAAGGAGAAAATTGAATGCTTTTTCCTGAGGTCTTGGATCTAAATCTAAATCTTTTGTTAATGAAGAGGATTTTAAGATGAAAAGTGACATACTTGTAAATAGTGTTAAGTGAGGTTAAATCAGTGGTTTATATTATGAAGAACAGTTTCATGTGAATGGAGAGAGGGTAATGTGGGAGAGAACTAATGAATTATTTAGGGTTTTATAGTTTGCAGTAATTACCTTAGTTGTCTCTTTTTAGTTTTCAGCATTTGTATGACTTTGAAATATTTTCTTCTCATCTCTTTCCCTATCATCCCCAACCTTTTTTTGCCCCCAGGGAGGAGAACGTCCAAAAATAAGCCTTCCAGTTTCTCTTTATCTTCTGTCACAGGTACGTTTGTTAGCTCCATTGTGTCACTGGAGTATGTCAGGACTTTTCAGCTGATTTATTTTGAGTGAGGCTTTGTAGGGTATCTTCTTTGCCTTCAGACTTCAAATAGCCATTACATATCATCTTCCCCACTTTTTTGGTCCTTGCTCTTAAGCAATATCTTTGAAATGAAATTAAAAGAAAAAATGCGAATTGTGGAAAAATATTTGCTTTAAACTTATCGGATAAAGGTGTGAAATCCAGAATCCATAAAGAACTGATATACATCTATTAAACTGATAATGCATGATAGAACATTTTCAAAGGAGGAAATGCATACTATTAATAACCACATGAAATCTGCTCCTCCATGATAATCAGAGAAATGTAAATCAGGACAACCTTAGAATATCACCTTACCTAGAATGACAAAAATAGCAAAAAATTCTCTGTTGGCTAGAATGCAGGGAAAATGTTGTTGGGGCTGTCAGCTGGTGAAATTTTTTTCAAGAGCCATATGGTAATATACAACGAGTCATAAAAGCAGTTATGTATTTTGACCAAGTGGTTATAGTGCTAGGATTTTATGCTAAAAATGACCTGGAGACCATCTGCTCTAGGTTCCTTATTTTACGTATAAGGAGACTGAGGTCCAGAAAGTTTATGTGACTTGCCCATAGTCACATAGCTAGGAAGTAGCAGAGTTTGGGTAGAAATGAGGGGGCCTCAGATTCTTAACGTATAATCTGCCTTATTTATCATTCAGAAATTAGAAACCCATATATTCAGTGACTGAAGAATGGCTGAACACATTTTGGCATGTTAATGTAGGAAATATTATTGGTACCAGAAAAAAAATACCAATAAATGTGAAATACACAAGGAATTGTGGAAAAACAAAGTGATGCAAATTGAGATCAGTAGAACCATAACTATACGTTAACCACATCAACCAACAAAAATGGTCAAAAATAGCAGACTTTAGACTGGAAAGGGATATACTACAAAAAGCATTGTTTACTCATCAATTCAGTTAGTTACCTTTAAATGCTAAGAGTTTTATGTAAAATTTCTCTCCTCAGTTTGTATGTTTTTTTAAAATTATTTTTGCTAGTGGTTATCTATAGTAAAATAAAAAATTTAAATAGCATTAGAAAATATGACTTTTCAAGTGATGAGGTAGGATGGGTGTTATCTTCATATGTGTGTGTGTATACACACACACACACACACACACACACACACACACACATAATATCTTCATAATAACAAATAAGCTTGAAATGAAATGAAAAACAAAACTGTGCTTGTGTATTCTTAGGAACATAGGTTTTTTGAGTTGGGAGAGACTTAGGAGATCATTTAGTCCAACTCTCTAATTGATCAGATGGGGAAACTGAGGCCCTAAAAGGTTATTTGCTCATGGTCGTACAAGTACTAACTGCTAAAACTGAGATTTGAGCTCAGACTTCCTGACTCCAAATCAAGTGCTCTTTCCATTATACCATTTTGGTAATCCATAGACTAGATTTCTAAGAGCAGTTATAGGATACTCATAATATTTTGGAAATCCATAGTTTTTTTTTTTTTTTACAATACAGAAATCTTATTTATAGCCTGTTGAAGTTAAACCCTTAACTTCAAGACCAGGTCTACACAGGTGTTTACTGAAGAATCACAATATAATATTTCGTTTAGTGGAATATTTTTTTAAAAATTTATTATTTTTATAATTGTGTTTTGATGCCAAATTGGAATATTACTTTCTGTTAAGTAAACTTGTAGCAGTTCTCGTTCTTTTCATCTCATGAGTATATTTAGCTAAAGCTGTCTTTTTCTTCTCCCCACCTCAAGAATTGTACTTCCTTCCCATAATTATGTAATATTTACATGAAGGGAAAAACTCTATGGTAACCTAGTTATATAACATTTTAAAAATATTTTTATTATGAATAACCCACATTCTTAAGTCATCTAGTTTTATTGTCAAACATTCAAACATTTGACCATAGGTTGGTTCCATTTCTGAAAACAGAAGAAGTATTTGTCTTCATGAGAGGGAGTGCTTATGCTCTTAGTTCCTGAGCTTTATGCCATTTGGGGATAAAATTTGTTTCGTGATTCTCAATATGAACTTTGAGTTGAGATCCTTTCTGCATCCTTTTGATGGGCACATTTGTAACTTCTTATGCTGACTGAATACTTTCAATGTTCCTGAATCTTATTGTAGGTTGTTGTCTTTAGTCTCATGTATGTTTATGCAACAGCTCAGCATTTAGAACCTAGCTGATTTTGGCAGATGGATCTTGTTGCTGCCACCTTATGAAAAAATATGCCAGCGGAGCCTATTTAGTATTCTGGGAGTTAAGTTGGCTCTTCTTGTTGCTCACATTCATGACATTTGAACTTGGTAGAAAGTAAAAGCATTCTCAGCACTTTTCGGTCATTCTTTTTGAAGACTGGTAAGTGGTAGCATATTCTCTGTACCTTTGCAGTCTTCTAGAGTTCTGGACCTAGAGTCGGCAAAAGCTGAGTTCAAATCCTGCCTCTCACACTGATGGACTGGGTGACTCTGGGCAAGTCACTTCACTTCTAACCCTCAATTTCCTCATCTGTAAAATGGGGTTAATAATAGACCCTACCTCAGAGGATTGTTGTAAGATGAGATGATGTGAGTGCATTAATGCTAGTGAGAGAGTATAACGCACTTAGTAAACCTTAAAATGCTATATAAATGCTAGCTATTATTGTTATTCTTAGTGCTTTACTCTCATTCATGCACTCTAAAGTCGAGCCTATTTTCAGTTCCTTGAACATGCCCCACCATCTCTCATCTTTGTACCTTTGATCTGTCTGTCTTCCATGCCTGGAATGCTCTGCCCCCTCACCTCTGCCTTTAATGTCCCTGGCTTCCCTCAATACTCACTCAAATTTCACTTTTTACAGGAAGCCTTTCCCAGTTTTCCCACCTGCTAATGCCTTCACCTCTTAGACTGCCTTCTGTTTACTCTGATGTGTCTCATATCTACCTAGTTATTTACATGTTCACTGCCCTGTTAGAATGGAAACTCCTTAAGGGCAGAGATTATTTTTGCCTTTCTTTGTAACCTAGTGATTAGCACAGTGCTTGGCATATGGAAACTACTTAATAAATGCTTCTTGAGTGACAGAATGGCAAATGCTTAAGACAGCTATGCTCTGTGACTGAGATGTTGGTAGGGGAGAATGGTATTGTCTATACCCTGTTTTGGAGAAGTTCTTGGTTTTTTCTATCTATTTTCCCCCTTCCTTCCTAGTTCAATTCAGTGTTATAGTAATTTTCTGGTTCAATTTTCTTTCTTTCTTTTAACAATTAATAGCAACTATACATATTCTATTTTTTCTAAAATTTAAAAAATTCTTCTCACTTATAATTTTAATTGTAATATAGCATTCCATTACATTTATATGCCATAGTTTATCCAGCCATTCTTAAACTTGGAGACAGCTTGTTTCGAGTTCTTTGTAATGAAAATAATGCTGTTATGAATCTGAGGTATTAAATATTCTTGAAGTTGCTTGTCTAACTGGGGATTGGAAAAGAAAGATGTCTAAGATCCCTCCAGTTCTAAGATTTATCATTTCAGTAAAAAGAAATGTCTTTACAGATGCTTCATTCTAATATATCATTTCTCTTTTCATTAGGTTTTCCTAATAATACACTATGCACCACTGGTGAACTCATTAGCTGAAGTCATTCTGAATGGAGATCTGTCTGTGTTCTGTTATAGGTCTGAACAAGATGTTCAGAGAAGTTCTGTAAGTCTTTCACTTTCATAATGTGTCTTGACTATGTTAATGAAAGAATACATTGAATTTTTCTATAAGGTCAAAATTGATATTTTGTTTGTATAATTAAGACTTGAGAGAGGCAGATGGGCTAAGGGATAAAGGGCTGTCTTTGGATCTAGACTGACCTGGGTTCTCAGCTTAAGGTCACTTAAATTTTCAATGCCCCAGACAGTGATGCCTCTTGCCTTGATATGAGGAATTTCCTCATTTTCGAGGTCCCTAAACTGATGAAATCTCAAGTGTGGGCACAAAACCAGAAGGCTTCCTCCGAACAGCTTTCCTGGATCTCCTCAGGTGCCAGTTCTCTTCTCTCTTCCTCCTCAAGTTACCTTCTGTTATGTTTATTTCATATGTGCTGTATACCGTCACTAGGTTGTTGGTTCTTGGAGAGAAGAGACTGTTCTATTTTTTTTCTGTTATCTCCATTACCAAATAATATCTTGTGCATAATAGACTCAATCAGTGTTTGTTGAATTTGAAATTAATAAATTACATAGTGAATTAGCAGATCTTAAAGTCAGGAAAATCTGCGTTCAGGGCCCATGTCTTACTCATTATGGCTGGGTGACCTTGGGCAAGTCACTTAAACAGTTGGCACTCTAGGAAGCTCTCTAAGACTTGAAGTTGCTGAGCAGGGGCTGATCCATATTGTTGGAGGAGCTCCTTTATCAGGAAGTCTCTAGCCCAGACAATACACACTTCAGCCAAATTCTAATATGGAAGACCCTGAAAAGAGTGCAACAGAGATATAGCTCTGTTAGCCAGATATTTTTTTCTATGTAAATAATCTCTTCTTCCTCTTGTACTGTATACATCAGGACTTGTATTTAACTCCCCATTTTGTATGCAATAAACTGAAAATGAGACTTGAGTTGAATGTGAAAAAATTGGTTGTTAGAGTGAAAGTGTCATCTTACTTATCCTGATGTCTAAATTTGAAGTCACATATTGGTCTTCTGGTGACCACAATTTAAATTTGGGAAGAGTTCGAGGTAAATGTAGTATAACTTGTTTGACAATAGTCATGGTAAGGTTACCTTCCTTCCTGATGAGTGAGAACTGCCTCCTCTTGTTTCCTGTACAAGTCGGATGGGGTTTTATCACACTTGTTTTAAGTGTCTTGGTCTTTTTTAACCTACTTTCTCCTTCCCGTAACATGTAGATAAGTTACTGGCACTGTTTCATGTTACCAGTAGACCTTTCACAAAATAAAACCAAAATTGAACAGAGGGAGGTTATTTGAAGACTATGTAATTTAACATCAAATTCAGATATAACAGCATAGTAAGATAAATGTACAATTGAAATTTTTATGTTGAAATATGTTGTTTAGAATTAAAGATATGTGAGTAAAGGTAACTTTTACTGTTATAGTTCTCTTGCAAAAGCAAAATAGTGTCATCTAGTTTAAGGAAATGTAATACAAGAGCCCTACACTTGGAACTGGTAGCACTCTGTTATTTTTACAAAATTAACACAGATTTTTTTTTTGTGATAGGAATAACTACTTTTGGTAGGTATAGCTGGCTTTTGTTAAATCAGATTCTCTTCAGTTATCTTGAGATGTTTTGTCTTTATTGATTCCTAGAGCTAAATTAGTTTTAATGTACTTTGGTTTAAAACAAGAAATTAAGAGAATTCTTATAAGACTTTTGGTGGGAGCAGGGCTGGACAGGAATCATGAAATTAGAAGTAGACTAATCATGCATTAGAAGTAGACTATTAAAACTTGAAAGAATTTGGAAATCTCTGTTGAACACATAGAGTTTAATCTACCTTTTCCTTTACCTTAGAGGCAATATGGTTTCCAGGCAAGAAAATGGATTCAGGTTCCAAATCCTAGTTCTAATACTTGGTGATTGCAGAAAGTTACTCTATTTCTCAACTTCTGCAGCTGTAAAATGGGCATAATATTTCCTGACAAATCATCGCTGGAACATGGGAGGAACCATTAGTTAATATGAAATACAAAGAGGCCAGGCTAGTTCATTGTAAAAAGTTCCAGGATTTCGTTAGACTGCAACACTATGAGATGGCAGCCAAAAAACCTAATTCGGTCTTTGGTTACATTAATAGAGGCTAGTGTCCAGAGCAAGGATGGTGATAATCCTCCTCTGCTCTTCCCAGGTCAGGCCACATATACGATGTTAAGTTTAGTTCAGGGAACCACATTTTAGGAAGGGCATTAATAAATAGAAGTGTGGAGGAGGGTGACTAGGATTGTGATAGTGCTATAGGCCATGCCTCATAAGAATCAGTTGAAGGGACTAAGAGCATTTAACCTGGAGCATAGAAGATTTAGTGGTTTGGGGGGAAGGGACAATGGCAGAGGGCTAAACCTGTAGCAGACATTTACTAAACACAGATTACTTGAGAGAGTCCATTGATTGTTTAAGTGTAGTGAGTTACAACAGTGTGAAAAGTAGATACCTCTGGGAACCACTCTGGCTCATGTCTAGGACCTACTTTAATAGATTAAGGTGGTCACAGGATGATGGGTAACCTAGAGACCTGAAATATTTCCCACTGGTGAGTCATTTATCCTCTACATAAGAAGACTTAATGTTGCTGATATCTCTGTTAGAGCATTCTTACAGGGATGTTCCATGGATAAACAAGCTACTTGCTTTTCTTACTTACATGTTTGCTCATTTAGAATACTAATGATCTGCTTTGGGTTTCTCAGGCATTAATACCTATTGTGAGATGCTATCATGTTGTCTTTCCAATATGTGCAGTTTAAATCAGATGTGAAATATTGTCCTCTACATATCAGTTCATCTTAACTTCAAATCATGATTATGATTTCACTATGTATTCTAGTATAACCCTGACCTCATGTATGAACTGTGAATTAATGATGATGTTAAGCACGTGTATCCTTGATTCTGTAAGCAATAATAGGTTTCTGGAAAGTAGTTAATAGTGATTGAAGAGGGGTAAAAATAGATGTCCATAAATCGAGTTACTTAATTGGTAGGTTATAAAATGTTTCCACAAAGAATTAGAACTCAATTTGTGTTTCCATTTTCACAAGGTTATTGTGGTTTATCACAGTAATCCCTCAATGGAATTATAGCTCCATAATGCAGTTATCTCCTGAAGCATTCAGTGTGTTATTCTGGTTAAATAAGAATATTTAGTTGAATAAAAGAAAAGTCACAGTGTAATCTTCTTCAAATTCATTTCCCATACAGTAGGTTTACACTTAGAAAATCCTTATAGTTGTCTTTTTCTATAATGGACAGTATAAGCCTTGGATTTAGACCAGAATTCAAATCCTCCCTCAGATACTCATAAGCTTTGTAACATTGGGCAAGTTACTTAACCCCTCTGACCTTCAGTTTCCTCAAAATGGGGATAATCATAGCTCCTATTTCATAGGGTTTTTGTGAGGACAAAATGAGATAACATATAAAATGTAGTGCTCATTTTAGTGTTATGTAGTTGCTAGCTATAATTATGTTGTGTGTGTTTTTTAGTATAGAGTTGTGATTTCATTGGTATAGGGACCTTCCAGTGAGGAAACTCCCTCTACCAATGCAGATCCAATCAGTCAACGAGCATTTATTGAATACTTTCTTTGTGCCAGGCACTCTTCTAGGCAAAAAGAATGAAGCAGTTCCTTTTCTTCAGGTGCTTAGAAGTCATCTGGCCCTACAACCTCACTTTATAGATGAAGGAACCTGAGTCACAGAGAGGTTAAGTTACTTTTTGATCAGTGGCTAAGGAATGGGATTTTGTGGTTAATTGAATATGCTTAGCATAGTGAATAGAAAAAAGTCTTGGAGTCAGAAAGTCTTGGGTTCAAGTCCCTCCCCTGGCATATACTGCTTGTGTGACCCTGAGCAAGTCACTTAACTTCTCAGGCCTAGACAACTTTCTTGGCCTACAAATTGAGAAAGTGCCACCTTACATTTGTAAAGGGAGTTTCCTTATCTGGAAATTTTCTATACCAGTGAAAACACAGGTACAATGCCTATCCCTATTAACTCAGCACTAATATGTGTGTTCCTCGAAAGGTTACATTCTTGAAGAATTGGAATGCAATGCAATTCTTAATAAAAGGACACTTTACATAGATACTTCAGAAATTTCTGGTTTTTCAGTAGATGCTCTCTTTTGGAGCAGAAAATAAACCTATACAACTCATGAGATAGTCTCTGAGAATTGCTGTGGCCAAAAAAATTACCACCCTATTGCCAACTTGGTAATAATCTTCTCTGTATTTAACTAGGCTGGTCCTCACAAAATAAACACCCAAAATGTTCAGTAACATGCAGGATGAACTGTAGTTCTTAACATAGTCAATTTTGTCTTCAGAGGTACTGCTGAGAATTAGTAGAATGGGACCCATGACTGGGATGTGACTTTAGAAAGGAATATCTGCTGTAAAAGAAGCAAGATAGGTAATAGGCTTAGATGAAGGATGGAGCTGGGCTAATGTTGTACATTAAGAAGAAATACCAGAATCTGTTAATACATTAGTAGTCAAAGAGGATGAACACATAGTTCTCAAAAGAAGAATTGAAAACTTAACAACTGTGTGAAAAAATGCTCTAAATAACTAATAATAACAGAAATGCAAATCTAAATAACTCTGATCTTTCACCTTATACTTAGCAAATTGGCAAAGATGACAGAAGATGGGAATTACCAATATTGGAGGGATTGTGGAAATATAGGCACACTGAAAGCATTGTTGGTGGAGCTGTGAGTGGGTCCAACCATTCTGAAAAGTCATTTGGAATCAGGCAGATAAAGTGACTCAAATGTCTCTCTGCCCTTTCATCTAGAGATCCCCACTACTAGGCATATATTCCCAAGATATCATTGACTATTTAAAGAAGGGATCTATATACACCAAAATATTTATAGTAGCATTTTTTTTATGGCAGCAAAGAACCAGAAACTAAGTAGATGTCTATCAAATAGTTAAATTGTGGCCTATAAATGTAATGGAATAT